GAAACACACACAATGAGAAATGACGGATCAGCACAGGATGACAGACACCAGGAGAATAAATAGGAAACCAAACGAGGAGGCTAACGAGGGAGACACAGGTGGAGCAACTTAAACTATAACGAGGTAACAAGATGGGAGGGGCAAGACAATAGACAGGAGAGAGCACATGGCGACAGACAAACACAACACAAGCCATGTGCTCCCAGAACACAGTCATCTGGTGGCCCTCCTGGGCACACCCGCTGCAGACTGCGACAGTGTTATTTTAGTATCATTTATATACTATTATAGTTTTTGTTAATATTTGGAATTAGATTTTTTTAATTTAGTAAATTTTTTAGTTTTTGTCATTTTTATAGTTTTTAATGATTTTTTTCTATTTGTTTTAGTTTTTTGTTATTTATTACTTTAAGTTTAACAAAAATAAGAAACGTTTTATTTTGGTTGTTTTTTTAGCATTTATTTTAATTTAAATTTTTTATGATTTAATGAATTATTAGCTTGTCTTCCTTTTGTAAACCCCCGTTTGAAAAACTCCGATTGACTAAATATCCTCATAATTATGCTTCTTTTATTTAATGTAAACACAGTCGGTTATAATTTTATTCAGTTTATTTATTTTTTGTAGTTATTTAAATACTTCGAATTAAACAAAAATGAGAAATATTGTCTTGGCAACTAGCTGAAATATTTTATATTTTATTTTATTAAAAAATTATTAAATGTTATGTTTATTTCAAGTATTCAAGTATTTTTTTTTTTTTAGGTTTTGGTTTTAGTTAACAATAATAACCCTGTCCTGAGTGTCTGATTATCATAAAATTCTGACCAAAAATTATGAAACAAATAATGACTTATTGTGACTGTAATGTTCACTATTTAATTTCATACTGTTTTTATTTCCCTGCGGCTCACAAGTGTGAATGAATGAAACATCAGTTCAGCTGGTGGCTTGAGGAAATGATCTAAGCTTGTTTCAATTTACACGGCATGTGCATGTGTGTGATCGACAGACATAAAAACAGAGAAGAAAGAATGAAAGAACAGCAAATGTGTGTGTGTGTGTGTGTGTGTGTGTGTGT